CCCCCCCCCCCCCCCCCCCTCCCCACTATTTAAAATACAGTATTTGGGAGCACACGATGACTCCACGGGGAATTTGAGGCCACTGCAGCATTTAGCGCCGCTATGTAGTCGAGATAATTGGGCTCCAGAGATTGGAATTAAATAAATTAAGAGGACATTTCTTGAAACAGTGCGGTGGTCCAGGCTTCAGTTGTTAGCAGTGAAAGAAAATTCTGATCTTTGTTGATGCTTTATTTCTTTATCTTTAAGTACGAAGTTAACGAATTTTGGTTTTAAAGTGACCCTACTATGCTCTGATTGCCCAATTTGACTGAATTTGTGAAATAGTAATTGATCTTGGCTATGATGACTTTCATCTTTAGGAACAGATTATCTGATGGAGAGGCTAGCGTCGATTCATCGAAACGTGGACGCTTTCTCATCTCTTCGCTACGTCGGTATTCAAACTCTCTCAGATCAAACCAACTTTGAAGTGAGTGCAATTTTCTGAGGATTGAAATTTATACCTACTGTTTTTTTGCTTGTATTACCTACCGAATGCTGTAGAGACCAGTTGAGCTTGAAGTGGTTCGAAGTTCATTCTACAATTCCATGATATCTCTGAGCCCACAACTACTTCGAAATGTATTAGTGCGCACTCTAGGAAACTCGGTCTAAGTAAGACTTTTGATATTGGCTATTTCGGCATTAGAGTTGGGGTTAGAATGAACTGGCCTAAAGGTTCAAAGCCATGAAGGACACATTAAGAAACATTGAAATGTCGAAGTAGCCATCGTGTCACTATGACTTCCTCCGTCCTCACCAGCATGGAGTCAAATCCCAGCTTCTCATTACTCCACTGGCAAGGTTTCCATGTTACTTCCACAACGCGCCTAATGACGACTGTTAGTAACTCGTAGTTGGTTTATGTTTATTGTTCATTGTATGGTGGAATGTGATTGTCACTAAAAAGGTGGGTGCATTTATTCTGAGGCCCTTTCCCGTAGCTAAGAATTTACACACATTCTGACGTCGTTTATCCTTCTAATCTATTAATAGTGTAGGCTTCAAGGTTTTTTTTCCAATTAAACCTGTTGATTGGGTCTTTTTGTCGTTCTATTAATAGATTCGCTACAACAACGCCTAAAGTACCCTCGTCTGTGGCAGATAGATGTGTGGGGGGGGGGGGCATTTTGATGCTTTATGGTTAGTATATCGCTTCCTCATCGTTTCATTTTACTGAAAAGTTCTTGCACTTTCCACGAGTGGAGACAATAGGGGGCTGGGGGTAGCACTTTCTTTTCACCCTCTTCGAGAGCATCTCTACTACCATTGCGTCAATTAGATTGCTCAACTTTCCACTGATTTTCATAATCGAGTCAATCGCTATTGTAGCCTTCTTTTGGCCACCGCCTCTCGGAATCGAACCCCCCCCCCTCTCCTCCCCTTGTCACAAGGAAAGTCCTGTAGAAACCATGAATGTAAAAAGAGCACCAGTTGTTGCCTAATGAAGGCCATTAATGGGATGTCTACTCCACAGGCTTAGCAGTCACATCAATAACTTGAAGTTTGCTCAAATTTCGAATGCCCCAGGTATTGCAATGGACAAGGGTGGTCGAAATGACGTATCAAAGTGACATCTCGGGTGTATTTATTAAAAGTTCCATATCTCTCTATCAGTCTTAAAAAGATTATTACACTCTAGTTATACAGAAATGCAAAAAGTAATCTTTTAATCGAGGGGAAAAACTGTAACCAGCTAGCAGAGATCTCGTTGAATGATGGGGGGGGGGGAGGGAGGGGAGGAGGAAGGAGGTCTAGAAGATGATTCTGAGAGCGAGTTCCGAAATTCGACTTTCAATTCTTCTTCTAACTTGTCTACGGCGTCCAGTGCTTGTTCACTCACAAGGGTCTAAAGGGGAAATGCTCCCACCCCCGAATGTGTATGTCCTGCTCAACCCTCCAATGCGTATCTTTCTATTCCTCTTTTCGCCTTGTAGCCATTTGTTCGTGTAGTTGACGAATTAATGTCAGAGACGTCAGTTCGAGCCCCACGTCAATTGGAGCATATATTCCGTGCAATGATGGGTTTGAGCACGCACTTTGCCACAGATTTGCCAGACGCTGCGGAGACTGCATCCACAACGCCGACTTTTGTGGAGGAGTACTTCACCTGTCCCGCAAAATGCACAATCTGCGGGGCCCGCTGCCAACTGGGAGTCGCTCACGCACCCTCCACACCCCACTTCTCTCGTCCCCGGGAAGAAAGCTTGGATGATGGCTGTCAGTACTCCAGGCAACAGCAGAACAAAATGTACTTCTGTAAAGTGAGTCACCGTCTATTGAACCCTCTCTCTCTCTCTCTCTCTTAAAATGGCCATCATTTTTGACCTCAATTCTCTCATTCTCTCTAATTAGTCCGGGTTAAAGGGAGAGTTAGCTCGAGGCTACTTTCTCTTCCCATTTTGCGTACTCTTTAAGGCTTTTTTTAATGGCATGAGATATCTTAATGCCAACTTTTAAAAATTCTTCTCTCTGCCTATTTTATGCGAACGCAAACTAATATTCCAGTTGTGTGCTCGTATTAGTTTTCCCGCCTCGATTTGCATACCTGTTGAACTTTATTCCTCTGGTCATACAAATTCCAGCGTGGTTCTCTTGGACGCTGTGCCGGTGTCTACCAAGAGGCAGCAAATTCAATCAATAGGTGACCGCACACTAATATGACTTTTTATTAATGGCACTATATACGGGGATGACGCTCAGTGAGTTTACGCGCTCACTTCGTCTGAGGTTACTGCATCCATAGGCAAGGACACACCAAAAGGTCACCCTCGCATGCGCAGACAGTTGGGGGGGGGGAGTGACTGGTCTCGCTCGGAAGCATCTAAGGTCACCATCCATTGGGTGGAGAGAGATACGATAGCGTCAGGGCTTTCTTGTATCCTCTTTGAAATGACTTGGTGGCATCGAAAAAAACAGAAGTAGGGGGTGGTGGTGGTGTCTTCTTCCATCCGAATTTGCACCTTTTTGTTAATTTTTGTTCACGGCTGACAAGCCTTCTGCTAAGTTAAATTTGAATGACAAAATCATAAACAAACACTTGGAAGCCGTTGCATGGCTTTTAACTTAATCATGAATTTATTTCCCCAATCTATGTGGTAGAACATCTTGGTGTTGCCGAGGTCAAAATAGTCATCACAAATGGCGGGCTTTTTGGTAGTTATCATTAGCCCTTTAGCTGACTTCGGGCTTCACAGAGTGGAGGAGGAATATCATAGTGATAAAAAGTCGAGAGGGGGGGGGACAGAATAATGATTTACAAATGTGAAAGAGTTAGACACGAAGGCAGAGAAAAGGTCGAATATGACATACAGTGTTTGAAGTCAGAAGTTAACTGCCTGTTTCATAGACTTATTTTGCCGTATGAGTATACGTTGTGCAGGGTGCACCATGTGGAGGTAAGTCTGTCGCACATTCCGTCATCACAACATTAACTATGGGTGATTTTTTTTGACTGACAGTTATTCTGCTTCAACTTTTCCTCGCTCTCATTAATTTTGCGTTTTGATTGCATCACCGCGCAGTCATTTAGGCCCGTGCTGATTTCAAATGTTACTTTTACGCTACTTTACCTGGTTGGGGAGGTGGGGGTGTGGGGGGGGGAGGAATGTGAGTGCTTATAATAATAATAATAATTAGTATTTTCTTTATATTGTTAAAATTACCTTTTATAGGAATGCGCAATTTTTATGAACTCTTCTTGGACCTATTTTATGGAAATTTGCAAGATTGACTTGACTTTTTCACCCATTTTATTGCAGCAATTGAGTATGTCTCCACCCCTCCCCTCCCCCTCCCCTCCTCTTCAATATCGACTTTGAAAAATTCAATTTACTTGCAAAAATCACCAATTCTTGCGCAAATAAAGGACTTTTAATAGGGGGCAGGGGGGGGGGGCAGTTTGTAGACTGTGGCTTTCATTTTTAAGCCATCACATTTAAGGGCTGATTGTGGATGCCTTACTTGTGAAATATTTAATTTTATTCAAGTTTGGTCATTTGATTGCGATTGCGAATTCTACGGCGTTGAATTTTTCCAGGAAAAATAGTCTGAAATGGTGTGTGTGTGTGTGCTTGTACTTAATTTTGAACTTTTTTCTGGGCTCACAGCGTTAAACGCTATTTTCTGGCGCTTGATACCGCACTGACCTCGAAGTCGTCGTCATCACGTGTTTGCCATTTACACACAACACCTACCTCTTCCCCCCCCCCCCCCCCCCCCCCCCCCGCCCCCCGCATAAACAATATCCACCAGCCATTGCCTAGTTATTTATTTATTTATTATTATTATAACAATTTTTTGTGGATTGCAAAATAAATCTCTTTCTCTCTATAATTAGCTTTTTTGCTTTTGTCAAAGTACACTTCCTTTGTCCATCACTTTGTCCTGTGTGCGGTTTCCTGGAGGTGATTTCTTTTATTTCATCAGTGTTTTGGTCATTGGAATGCTGTCGAAGTCAAGGTCACGCTATCTCCTTTGTCGTGACATTGGCAGCATCTTTGTGAGGACTATTATTACGTAAATTGCAATTTTCTTGACCAATGAAATCACTTGGCAGTTTAATTTCATTTCCGGCCTTTTTATTCCGATTTTTGTTTTGGGGGAGTTGTCCCAATTTTACAACTCTCTTTATTTGCGCTGACTGTGACCTGTGTGCAGTCCATGTTAATTTTTTCCCAATTATTATTCATGTATAGTCTAAAATGAAAGTTAGTCAGACGACTTCCAACGTTGTATTGGAGTATCGAATGTAGCAGGAGAATGCTAAATGTATATATATATATATATATATATATATATATGACAAGCGCACTTTCTTTGAACAATGAAGTTGTTTCTTTCACAATTTCGTATTGTGATTGGAACTAGTTTGCCTGCTAGAGTTTCGTGAAGTTGGAGAGGTTAGGGGTTGGGTCTCATGAATAAAGAAGCACATTCGCTCAAATCTATGGATTGCTTTTACTTTGTTTCACCTGGTGGTGTTTTAAAGTGAGATTTAAAGCATTAGTTTTGACCTAGTTGAGTTTATTCCGATTCTAATTGTACGTTATAACACAAAGGCAGATAAGTTATGCCAGTCTCTGTACTTGATGCACTTCTTCTTTGTCTACTCTATGGAGTTGTCAAGTCCAAGCCTCAGACGCTTCACCTTAAGAAGGTACAACTTACTCACCGGCTTACTTTTCAAGCAACCGAATAGATGCTTCAATTCGCGTTAAAGTGCAAAGTGTGTAGCCAAGTTGATACTCAGCTTAATGAAACTATTGCTCATTTTATTTGATGCAGTATTTCGATTGTTTTGCAGACAAGGTGTTATTGATGTCCTTGGTTGCTAAAGTAAGTTCGTGCACATCGAATGTCCTTAACCATACAGTAGTACAATAGTTGAAATTCAGATTCATCGAGAGAGTGTACTTTAGTGGGCTTCTCTTTTTGTCCTTTGCCAGGCCTGTTACGCGGAGGGTAGGCGGACAGTTTTGGTGCCAAAGACCCTGGAAGACGCGGAGAATACGATGACGGGTGTGGTGAAGTACCTCTGGTACGGCTACTTGCTTCGCTGTCCTCGCCATGGGATAATTTATCGATCGCGTGCCCACTGGTCCGGTAACCAATCTCCCGAAAACTGTTCACAAATCCACTGGCAGATTGTTCATCTCTGGCCTGGCGAGAAATCTCTTCTTCTGGTACCTTCCCCCCCCCTCCCTCTCTCTCTCCTATTTACTTTTCATCTGTTACGCATATTTCTCCAATCTATTAGAAGTCCTCACAACCTTTGATTCGCCTCAAAGCAGGGTATCATTGAATGGCTCTTACGAGCACCGCATATTTCTTTGGCACTTTTTACCCGAGAACGATGAGCTAGCAGAAGTATAGAAGAAAAAACCGTGGCTTCACAATCGATTTATTTTGCGAGGAATATGAAGTACGTTTTGAGGGCCGATAAATTCAGTCTAGATGAAAAGGTGTCAATACTGAACTCAGAGGCTCGTGATATTCAAATCTTTTAGATTGACTGCTTGTCTTTTTTCTAGTGTGAGTCCTTGCAGACGGAGTAACTATGAGTCATTGTGTGCATTAAACGTGCCATTTCTAAACGTGTGAATAATTAAAAAAAGGCTTCAGTCCTGCTTTAACGCTCAATTGTTTTTAAATGCATTGTAGAGCACCCATCCCTTTGGCCAATTGATGGTGGACAGTTTGACCAATGTGACTGAACAGGTCTCTCAATTGGCCGGTCCGTCGACACGTCGTTTGGGTGATCTCATTGCAGACAGTCTAGCTCCGGACTACTGGGAGCCAAATAGCAGTATCACCAATTGTGTCTGCTGTGGATTCCAATTTCCCACTTCTACCACCTCCACTGCCCCCAATCCCGATTCGAATTCGCATTCTCCTCCTCCTCCTCCTCAGACAGGACCCAATGTGTCGCCTTTGGATGATGCGGAAAAGCACCACTGTCGCGTCTGTGGTCGCGGAGTATGTGCCAGCTGTTCGAAGCAGAGAATTCCGGTGCCCGAACGCGGTTTTGTGGACGAGTCGGTCCGAGTTTGCGATCGGTATGTTCTCTCTCTCTCTCTCTCTGAAAATCCATTTCCTATTGTTCCCTATTGTTCTTGAGTAGGCGGTACTCATCTCTACTCTTTTTTTACTTCATTCACATTTGGACTTGTTTTGCTTGCGTCCGCGAAGGCAAGTGTACTTCTCTACATGTCGTCTAGTATTTGAGCCCTAGTTGAAGCCCTCGATTTCCTCCAATCCTTGATTTTGATCGACCTTTTAAAATAGCTATTTTTAATTACTCAGCATTCTGAGAATCCATTGCCAACATTTCCGGATTCAGATTTGTGGAAGTTGCTTCTTGTTCGCTACTGAAGACCAGTCCCCCCCCCCCCCCCCTCGGACTGGCTCCTGCAATAGCGCAAGCCGCTTCCAAGAAATGTGCAATCAACACACTTGAAACCAGACCTGACTAATTCCCTATTTCAAAAGCAACGCATTTTGTTTTTAATTTTGAACGGGTTGTAAGGCCGAAAAGTTTAATCTGAAAGTCGTCACTTTTCGAACTAAAAATTTTTCAAATCTTGTGGTTTGCTCAAAAGGGGAGGAGGTTTCCACTACTTGTTTCTTTGATACTTTTCTCTCCACACAAGGTGCGCCCTTATTCCAACAACTACTCTGCTTACTATCGAAGTAATTTTTCCTGGTTTGCTTATAGTAAATAGTTTAGTTTTTGATTGGCTTTCGCGTAATCAATGTCTATATACAATCTGATTCGCCTAGGCATCGAATTTTGTCAACTGTCCGAGAATGTGACAATTTTGTTAACTTTTTCATATACGATTTTTTATTAAATTGACCCATTGCAGCTGCTACACCGCAAGAACGCAGTCGAACGGAAATCCATCTTCCTCTACTTCCTCATCAACATCGATTTCTCGACACTCTGTCAGTCCTGAATCCCCCAGTGGAGTAGCCACTTCTTCCAGCCGTCGAGTTCTTGAAATCATCTCTGCCACTGCAGGTTTAATAGGACCTGTGCTCAGTGCTCCTAAAGGTTTGTTATATTTATTATAGACCATCGCCTACTCGATTAAAATCAGTAGAAATTTATATTCATTCTTTTTTTAATTTAGAATTAGTCAAATCGGCTGTGCGACCGCACTACTGGCAACCGGATGAAGAATGCATCAACTGTGCTGTTTGCAAACGGGCTTTCGGCGCGCGATTATCGATTCATCACTGTAGAATGTGTGGTAAAGGGGTGTGTGGACCTTGTTCTGCACACCAGAAACCAGTTCCCCAACGAGGTCTCGATTGGCCCTGCAGGGTTTGTTCCGCATGTTTTGCAAATTCTAACCCAACTACACCCACAGCGTCTCCAAATCCAACTAACACTCCTCCACGATAAAATTATGCATTACTGTCCCCTCTCGTATTCGCCTTTTTGTACAGTTACATCTAGACAGATCTCTCTCTCTCTTTACACAGCCTTTCATTCATATCCCATCATCTTGCCCTATTCTTTCTTTTTCAATGATTTGGAGTGAAAACTCACCTTCTTACCTGTTATACCCTGTTTTATTCCGTGATTATCCCCATTAATGAACTATTCACTTAATGAATTTTTATAGTCATTGCGCCTTAAATATATCTGTGAATTTCGTAAAATCTGTTTACTTGTGATGATGAAAATAAGATTTTCGAGTGATAGGCCTTAAAATAGAGTCTTAAGGGGTAAGAGTAATAGAGTTCCTAGGGAAACCCGATTTCCAAATGGTTTTCAACTTAATAGCATGTTGGATTATAGTACCTTAGATGGTACTATGTAAGCGTACCTTACTTGTACGAAACAGTAAGTATTCGCAAATATTGTGGCGACGAAATAAATACTCAGAATATTTCACTCAAGAATCAATTGACGAAAAAAGAAGGTATCAAATGTTTCACTTTATTTAAGGTAACTATACCGAAATAAGTCATTTTTAATGCAAGAAAAGCTCTCGCATTTGATAGTGGTAATGAGATTGAATTAAACTTGAGCAGCTTAATGATAATTAGGTGTTCAAAAAGTAATTATTTTCAAGTCCCACATTCTACGGATTCCAATCCCTTCTTTTTAATGGGGTGCTTAATTTTTATTTAAATTTAGGAATTGGTGCGGCACAAAATTGTTGTCAAAAGTTACATTTCAAGTAGCATAAATATCAAATCCTCAGTACAAGCAATAACCATTTCATTAAAGCAATACAGATAAAGCTCGAATTTAAGCAAAAAATCAATGTAATGCTAAAACAGTTCAATGAAATTCAATTGACCTTCTTCTCTCAATTATTGTAACCTTGGGTTCTCTTGTTTTCGTTTTTACATTAAAGCGTTCGCTTATTGAACGTGTCTAAATGAGTGTGGGTAAAATTCTAAATCAATTCTTCAATCTTTGTCATTTGCTATTAACTCGCATGAGTCCACATGTACTTCTCTCTGCTCTCGCAATAAACGAATGTAATTAAATGTTCCTTTAAACATGTTTGCAATTTTTTTCGAGCTTTAGGAGTAATACTTTTGAATGATAATATAATCAATTTTTCAACCAATTATCTATATATAAGGGCATAATTTAATTTTGAAATAGAGTCCAGAAAATACATTGCGCATCTTGCTTACCACTGACAATCATGTTGGCTATCTCGAGAAAGACGGAATTCGAGGGAATGATACTTTTAAAACCCTGGAGGAAATTCTCTGCCTAGCTGAACACCACAATGTCGATTTTATTCTCCAGGGGGGAGATCTTTTCCATGAAAATCGTCCTTCAATTCGATGCATAAATGAAGTTCTTCGTCTTGTACGCACCCATTGTCTTAATGATCGTTCGGTATCCTTCGAAGTTCTTAGTGATCCCAAAGTTAATTTTTCCGCTACGTCCTATCCTGGTGTTAATTATCTTGACGCTAATTTGAATGTTGGCATTCCAGTTTTTGCTATTCATGGAAACCACGATGATCCAAGTGGACCGGGGAATGTGTGTCCCCCTGATCTCCTTCATACTTGTGGTTTTCTCAATCTCTTTGGCAAATCAAATTCGGTTGAATCAATGGAAGTTAATCCTGTGTTGATACGGAAAGGATCTACAAATCTGGCTCTTTATGGAATTGGAGCCGTGAGGGAAGAACGACTTCATAGACTCTTCCGTGATAATAAAGTCACCTTTCTTCGACCGGAGAATGACGTAGATAATTGGTTCTCTCTTGCTGCTGTCCATCAAAATAGGGTCCGCCATGGCCCCACTGGATATCTTCCTGAAAAATTTCTCCCCTCTTTTCTTGATCTTGTTTTTTGGGGTCACGAACACGATTGTCGAATTTCTCCTGAATGGAATGAGAGTCAGCAGTTCTACGTAGTTCAACCAGGAAGTTCAGTGATCACGTCACTAAGCGAAGGTGAAGCAATACCGAAATTCGTTGGCTTGCTTGAGATTCAAGGTCGTCAATTCAATGTGACAAAGCTTCCTCTGCAATCAGTGAGGAGGCTTGTTTTTGAGGATATTATCCTCAAAGACGAACTTTCAAATGTCGATTCCAGTTCTCCAGATGCTGCGTCGATGGTGGAAAAGTTGTGTAATGATAGGGTCCAAGCGGCCATTGATCGAATGACTGAGGAGACATCGACGGCGTTACGCAAGCGTCGTTTAAAGTCGGAGGAAGGAGTGGAGATAGACGACATGAAATTTCCTCCTCCACCTGAACCGCTTGTTCGACTCCGGGTGGATACGAGCGGGGGCTTTGAGAAATTCAGTGCTGTTAGATTTGGACAGAAATTCGTTGGACGTGTTGCCAATCCTAAGGTAAGTGCCCTGTTCGGCAAAAAATGTCTGCCATTGTTTTGTTCTCTCTTACGTACTTTATCCTTGTCATTCCAGTTTTTTGTTGTATGTTGTTAACAAAAAAATTATTTTCATCATGATTAAACATTCTTCTTGGAGATATATAGTAAATGATGCCGTGAGCTTTTGTTACCAATTTAAATGAAAAATTGGCTGGTTCGCCTCCTTGAGCGTATTTCGATGAGCCGATAGTGTGAAGTAGAAAATACTAGTTTTGTATATAGTTGGAATGGATGAATAACCTAATGGGAGGGTAATAGATGGAAAAGAGGTTAACCATTGTAATTTATAATAAGGTTACAGAGGGAGGTCTAATTTGACAAAATCTGGATTTCTTAACCTTTCACACTTCTTCTATTAGGGTGGTAGTAATCTTTTCTTGTCACAGGATTTAGTGATATTCCATAACAAGCGCGATACCACTCTAAATCGTGATGCAGCCAATGGTGTGGGTGTGTCTCAATCGACTACAGGCAGTTCCGCGGTTCGAGTGGGTCTGGCTGTTGCCGATGTAGAGACTCTCATCAGCACAGTCCTCTCCTCTGATCCAAAGCTCCAATTAGGACTTCTCACGGAGGTTGAAATGGCTTCGGCGCTTCACAAATTTGTCGATCGCTCTCAAAGCGATGCTATTGGTTCCCTTGTCGAGGAAGTGATCACCAAGACACAAGGCCACCTGATTCAACAAAGGTGTCTGGAGGAAGACATCCCGCTGGAGGTGTCTCGTTTTGCGCAGACTCGAAAGAAGACGCTTTCTACCGAGGACGTGATTGAAACGAAGGGTAGATCATATTTTATACAACAAACCATAGCTGTTAATACTCTAGAGATGACAGAGAAGCATCACCGAAGAGTCCTATCATTGTCACACTTAGTTAATGTCTTAGTGAAGCAATAACTATTGTCTCCTGTTGAAATGTTTCAATTTATAAGGTAGCGCTTAGCTCTACTGTTAAATGCTTATTAGCCCACGGGGCCTCTGAAAACACACCACACTTGAAAGATAATTCTAGTGACCTCGAGACTCTTTCGAGCAACTCTGGTGGCTTTGGGAATTTTGAGGCTACAGGATTAGTTTTTGTTGGCTTAGCCTTCAATAATAGATAATGACTTTAGTCTAATAATTCTATTTATTAATCCTATTTATGCATTTCTGATTTGGTTTTCCCAGATTGTTATTGTTCGGAGAAGATTGAAGCAAATATCGAAATTTGATATCCCATTGTAGCAGAATGCAGTTAGACGGACAAAGGCCCGATCGATGGATAGTAGTTGGCCTTACCATGTCGTAATCTAATGTAGTTGTGACGTGTCGATGATGTAGAATGGATATTGCTCTTTCTGTGCCCGACAAGGCGTCGTCGTGACCTTCTAAGAGAAAAATCTTCTGCTTGGCACTTCTTCGTTACAACAGCAGGATATTTTGATGGGGGGGGGGGGGGGGGGGGGGGGGGTAAGAGAGAGAGAGGAGTTCAGTTGGAAATGGGTTGGACACGAAGTTTACTGATGTTGAGTAGCGCACGCGGTTGAGCTCACAAATAGCTCCTTTAAGGCCAATCTGGGCGCCACTGATTTGGAATTGTCACTCAAGGGTCTATTAAGAGACCTATTCCCTTCGATTGAAATCAGTTGCTTTAGGATGCGCAATGTTTCCGGTGTAGTAATGCTTGAGATCTTAATTTTGCATTATGGATATGGCGACAGCCCTAAGGTAAAGTTATTTCCCAACCGTATCCTGGAAAACTTTCTCACTAGATCTCCTGACTTTCAGACTTTGTTTTAAAGCTGCTAGAGACGTCAAATTTCAACCATCGCCTGGTGTTTTGACGACTTGATATTGATTACAGTGTCCATAGTTAGTTGATTCAACTATGTGTCAATCCATGCTTGCACGAAGACATATTCACAGATGGAACGCCTCGATTACGAGTCATGACTGACGTCCAACAAAAAAATTTTTTTGCTCTTGAACACCTGATCTACTTATTCAAAAATTTGGAAGGCTCCGAATCGATCTATGAACTTGATTGACTTACCGTGGTCCATTCTATTTCTCCACGACATCATGATATATTGAATTAGCTCATATATATATACAGGAAAAATGTTTTCTAACATTAATCTTGAGTGCATTTCCTAATCAGCACTACTTCAGATCCCAAGATCGATGGAGCCTACTGCATAGTCCCTTATTTTGCAAAAGCATTCAAGTTATTATTATTATTTTAATCCAAGTAATTTCTCTTTTTAGAGTCTTTGAAAAAGGAAGATACCTCTCCTGTGATTGCCCTTGATACCACTCCAGTTAAGGATGAGGTATGATCGTTAGTTGAGAAAAAAAATAAGTATTTGTATGTATGAGAATAACATTAGATTTAATTATCATCATCATCATCGCTTCACTCCTCCATCAGTAGCTTTCGGATTGTTTGGGAACAGGGCAGCCTGTGTCTCCTTCTTGTAAGGCTGTGAGTGGATTAGTAGTGAAGCATGACTGGATAGGCAAGGAAAAGTGTGTGTGTGTGTAGGCACTATGGCACATGCGTTTTGAGTTTTTGACCTGAAAATCTCAAATGCCAGAAGATCTACGTGGTACGAATTACTCGATGGGCATCGAAAGACCGTGGGTTTGTGAAACTAGTGTCATCAATTCACACTGTTATAAGGATTGCTAGGCATATATATGATTTAAGGAGTCATTGGCGTATCACTTGGATCTCTCCTTTTTGGTTAAATGGTTTTTGGCAAGGGTAATTACATACAAGTACGTCACCCTATTAAATTCTATTGTTTATTAATTTCTTTATTTGACCAGCCTATGGACGTGTCCGTACCAGTTCGAGCAGCGCCTTCTTGTAGAAAGCAGTTGAAACAATCAACCATTTCATTTGGTTTCTTTTCCTCAAATGACTGTGGAGGAAGTGACAACGATGAAGAAAATCGATTGCTTCTGGATAGTCTTGAAATGGTAGAAAGCCAGGCGGACGCCAGCGACACTAGAAGTGGATTAACTTCTGGAATTTTCTCCTTGTCGGAGAATCAGAGTTTGTCCTCCGCCCTTCAAAGGGGGATGCGGTCAAGGGGAGGAAGAGGATCCCGCGGACCAAGGAGGGGCACAACACGTAGAGGTCGTAGAGGGGCGAAATTAATACCTTCGTCGAGAGATGATGTTGAAATTATTCAAATTGACTCTGAGGAGTCAAATGATTCCGCTGGGTTTAAAATCGCATAAAGCGAAAAACTGCCATTTATTATTACATGAAGAAATAAAATCATACATTTTTGTAACTAAATTATTTCTTCTGTCTTTAACATGCTTACCGGTATCGCGATAAAACCAATAAGGGTATGCTTTTTGGGAACTGTTGTTTAAAATTCTATTCTATTAAGTATACAATCATCTTTGCTGGTTGTAAATGCGACATGTTAAACAATAAATATTTCAAGCCACTTTTATGGGGACTGCATGCACACAACACAAATAGATTATTTTTTGCTCTGATTGTGATATAATCAAATTATCAAGAGAAACATGCTCTCGCTCTACTTTTGCAGCGATAATTAATCTTTATTAATAGATATAGCATCATATATTTGAGTTATTAACGCCATTTACCACATTTAAGCCTTGTGGATTACACGAGATACCAAGACTGAACAAAGAAATATCGTGCGGTCGTGAATGCAAAGATCTCTCTGTCAAACAGTAATCGATAATTGCTGCAATATAGCAAAACCGAGTTGATATTTTAATGGCTAAGGTTTGGATCTGTGGTCCTTTAGTCGTAATAAAAACAGCCACTTACGCCGTACGCTTTGGGGGACAATTTTATTCCAAGGACTTTTTCCAAATGAGGTTTACAAGATTTAGTCAAGTCTATTTATATTCAGCAACTGTGATAACCCACTCGAATTTACACATTTTGGAGCATTCAAAAGTAAAAAAAACTTGTAAATTTAAATATTGTTGATATACTACATTTTAAGTTGATAATTTTAGGAGTGTGCAGCATCCGACCCCAAATAAATGTATTCCATATCTTCCGTCTCTTTACTTTGTAGGTTTGGGTAAAAGAAGCTAATTTTTAGAACTTTCTAAACATGAGAGAATTAGCCACAGGTATTACAGAGTACAGTTAAGACTTGCAGTCAATGTATAGCAAATCGTTACATTAGCTATGAAGGGTAAATTGAGAAAGGAACTCCAAATTTAAGTCAATCTTCAAAGTAGTTGTCATCTTTGCTTAGCAAAAAATCTAGTAAATTTTCATTATCCTCAACAAGGAAAGTAAATACAAAAAATGAACACACAATTAGCATAAATAACACGATAACGAACGGTTTACACCGGTTAAATTAAAATTTCTTTTGAATTTTGAAATACAGAACAAACGTGTAAAAAAACTAATATTGAATGATATTAACTTATGCAATATTTCAATAATGCGTAACTGGCACCTGTCAATACATTGTGAATTTGATTCTTGAATGCATTTACCTTGAGTAGTAAGTAATCCTGAGAAGGCTTAGTAAAGGAATATTTTGGAAGACGTTTAAGTGTTAGTGATTGCAGACGTGTTCCCATACCTATCGGAAAATCAGAAAAGAAGAGTCATTTGCTATATAGCAAAGCGCATATTTAAAGTCAAAGATAAATGTTGTGCAGTATCCGCTAAATCCAAATATCCGTTTATTAGGTCAAAGGAAATACGCTATATCTATATAGTTGAGTGATCTCAAGCACAATCAGTGTAGCCTAATTGGCGTTGGCATTTGTTGAAAATAGCAGAAAAATTGTTTTTCGTGATCAATGTAAATGGAGAAATGTTGTAAGGCGTAATTTTTAAGATTTTGTATGAGCTGGAATTACCCCGAGAACAAATAAAATATTACGACTTAAGAAATTAATGCCAAAATTTAACGGTTACATCTCAGATCTGTAGTAATTAAATATTTTAAATCTTACAGCAGATAATGTAAAAACAGGTAAGTTTGTTCCTGTGGGTTTTAGCAAATCTTTATTAAATTTATCACTACAGATCTTACAAATTACTATTAGAAGAGATCAAAGCAGGTGCTAATTGAATCAAAATTGCTTAAAGAATGTAAAGGTACTTTTAGTACCCTTAATTTATTACTTACTTATTAAATTCGTAATTGGTATCGTAATGGTTTTGTTCAAACAGAGTGAAGGCTAGTATACGATTTGATATATGATCGGCTAGATTGTGGTAGATCTCCTGGTTTATTTATATTTAGCACCGATGAATGGATTGAGAAATTACTCTTGCGATATCTGTAGTATCACCTGCAATTCAGCTGAACAATTACGTATGCATGAAGGTGGAAGTCTACATTTGAAGAAATGTGCGAATTCCGGTATAGACACACCTTTTAAAAGGTCGATTTGCTATCAGCCTTTACAGGCGTCACCAGAGTTTGATTCTGATTCTGAGAACTTGCAGATCTGCCCCATGTGCTTTAATCAATATTCTCAGGCCGATTTTTTTACTCATAAGTGTGAAAGGGACTTACTTGCCTCTACTTCTTTACTGCCTGGTCCATTTGTTGTAATAGATCAAAACAGTCCACCTAAACCAAGGAAAAAAAGATTACCTTCTGAAGGTTGCGATTTTTACTGTGATTTATGTGACCTATCTCTTGGTTCAATGGCTAGTTATGATGCTCATGTTAATGGCAAGAAGCATATAAACAACAAAGCATATTTACTGACTAAAAAAACCGAGGCAAATTTACGTTAGTTTGATTATTTCTCTTTTTTAACAGGTTGATGGAGTGAACTGTATTGGGCTGGAGTCCCTTTCCTGCTCTCTGAGCGACATAAAAGTGGTTGAGGGCTCAGACTCCTCTCTAGTTGGGTGTAGTTTATTGAATCAATCGGAAAATGCCTTTTCTCCCACATACACTTCGCCCGTATCTAATACACCTAGCGTGTACTGCAATGTTTGTGATGTCCACCTAAACTCCACTACTCAGATGGCGTCTCATGTTAGTGGAAGGAAACACCAAAGTAAGCTGTTGAGGTCATCGGAATCAGTAAGTCCCACTTCACTCGTCACTGATTTTTTTGGAGGTCGATGTTGGTGGTGGCAACGATGCCCAAAATCTCTTCGCCCAGACAACTCCAAAGTTGTCGACTCCATCTCCAAAGCCCGTAAGTGCCATTTCCAGTCCTCATCTTTGCGATTCTTTCTAGTTTGTTTCAGCTAAATTACCTCCAAACTCGGTCATGTGTCATGTTTGTAGTGTACCGGTTAGTTCGACTGAGTTGAGTCACCATGAACAGGGTCGAGCGCACATCTATAAGGCTACCATGAATCTTTGTGCAAGGATCAACGATGAAATCGCGTCCGAAAACCGCACATTCAAACGATCGTTTGATACTACGCTTCCTTCTCTCCTTTCTCAGTTGCCGCCATTCCCCACAACAATAGTATCTATCGCATTTTATATAATCTTAATTTCTTTTACTTTAGAAAGATCATCTCACCATGATAGCAGAAAAAATTGAAGATGTAGTTCTTAAAATTTCTTTCAACGATATGTGTTCCATATCAGCTATGGCACTAGCTATTGCTAAGGCAATTGTAAGCAGAAATTATCCGGATTTTGAGCACAACTTCGCGGTGTGGATTTGTCCCCAAACGTCCATTGTGTCTGATCGGATTATGGAAGTCAGAAAATTGATTCAACACTTGTGAGTTTTATTATTTCTCCCCCCTTTACGTAGCTAATTATATAGCTCCGTTAACAAGCCCCTGTTGGCTAATATCCAAAAGCACGCTTTTGGTTTGGATAATGCCCAGTTGGAGCTTACAAAACACGACATTGCTTTTTCTACCCCCGGGGCTTTTACAAATCTCCTGATGGCTCATTCAAATATTCACCGAGCTATTCCTGTTCTTGTCTTCACGGATGTCGAACGGTGTGTGGATAATGATCCAATGCACGACCTGCTCACTCGATTTGCCGCTCTGGCCCATCGACCGAGGGTAGGTTCTGCTTCATCTTCCCTCTTCTCTAATCCTCCCTCTATTTTCCTCTTCTCAGATCATCTACATAACAAGCGGCAATGTGCAGAATTGGCCTCTGTTAAACACCTTCTTGGTTCTTTCATGAGAATGCCTTTCATTATTCCTCCTTCCAGAGCCCACATTTTTTCATTGATATTGTTATTTCAGATTTGTTTACTGGTCCCGGTGTTTTTGCAACATTAATAATATTTTCGCAGATTAATGCTCGTATTGCTCTTATAGTGAGCTGTAATGAGAGCCGTATTTATTGGTTACTTTGAGTAATTAATTTAAGCTAATTAAAGCCTCTTTTGTATGGCCTCATGTCATTTGTGAGGTATTTCAATCATTTGAATTGCCTGTTTTTAAAGTATTTTATTGCCAAGTAAAGTACGAATAGGTTAGAATGTAGAGAAGTTTTGTGGGTGATCAGGAAGTAAAATCAGTTGAATGTGCGATTCATCTGGCTGTGATCCACTGTAGGATCGTGTGGTCCTCTTTCACACTGGGTTCTATTGGAGTTTGAAACGTTTTCAATGCGTGTGTACAGCCTTCGCCTGATGCACCACCAAAACTCATCAACTTGTTGGCACCAGTCTGCTGCTACGAGACACGTGTGAGTACGGTTGGGTGCATTTTTCACAAAAAAATTATTCAGGCATTAATGGGTTAAGCGCCGATAAATTTAAAGTCTATATCGATTTGTTTCGTGAGTGAATTTATTTACCCGGCTTGAAGAGCTTTTTTGAGTAGGTTTATTTTTCTCTTAACGGCCACTTAATATTGGCAACAAACTTACCTTCCCGAGAGATAATTAGTCTAAACCAATAAATCACTAATCACGCAACTTTCGCGTTACAGTGCGCTCTCTTCTCCACACCACCCGTGTTTTTACGCTGCTTCCAAAGTAGTCTGGCTAATTGGTGCGGTGGGGTTTAAGCAAGTTCTCTTGGAAGAATACTAGATCTGCAATTACCTGGACTTCTAAGAGGCGATTGCATAAGAGCTGATTTGTGAAGTATTCGCTACAACAGCGACATTTCGGGCCCCCCCCCCCCCACATCATCATATCCTAGGGGCATCTGTAATAAGAGCACTTAATGAACTTTTTGTTGGGCTTAGAGACTTGATGGTACATCGTTCTTCAATGTTCAAAATTTAGGATTTCGGTTACCTGGGTGATTTCTTCTCGATTTCATTGAGACTTCGATCACGCCGTTTTAAGATAAGCGTTGCCAAGTCCACTCAGACTGAAATATTTCCAAATAATTTGAGATGATCAAGACTTATGGTTGTTAAGTTGTCAGCAGGTCAAAAACAAATTCAAATTTTAGTCCTATGAAAATATTAGATGAGGAAATGTAAATCACCCAAATGACAAAGAAGTAGGTGAGAATATATGAACTTTGGGGGATTCACTTCGTTTTAATGGTCTAAGTATTGCGTTTCAAATAATATCTGAGTGAAATTATCCTCTCAGTCTTGTACTCACCGCCATCGGTAACCTAAAATGACAACTCCATTTGAGTGCACCTATGTGAGATAAGGAAAAATTACATTAACCAATCATAAAAGTGCATATTTGTCAATGAATGTCTGGATTGCAATTTCATTGTCTTGAGGTATTTTGGAGTGAAGACGATCACGGGAATTCCGGTGTTGTGCAATTTGCAGCTATTTTGGGGGAAAATTAATGGGGTCATAGCAATTACGTTACAGCTAAGAGCAGGCAAACAGGACTCACAACTATTTTCTTGCAAATGAGTGCTCACTAGAGTTTAACGAATCCGTTAATGAGAATAGTTCAAGGCATTTGCTGTCATGTTCATTCCATGCTTCTATCGAATTACTAATTTTGGCAAAAATATTAGCATTAAACTGAAGTTGTTTTGTAGGAGGAGTTTGTAATTGATATTTTAAGTAGAAATGATAGAATAAATTTGCCCACTGACCCCGCCCTCAAACTCGTTCCACAGTCCTGACAGCTCATAGTTACCCCGAAAGCCGTTTTTAAACGGGTCTTCTTCGGGGTTCATGTTTTGAAGTCAGTAAGCGCTGTATCTTTAAATAGCCACATCACCAACTGAACTAAAATAGAGGCATTCCATAATCCCATTACTATCATCGTATCCACCATTTGTAGACCTGTTATATGTGTTCAAGAATTTGTTGAACTTTCCGTACATAGCATATTCACTAAATTTGTTGCTTGACAAAATTTATAAAATTCTGTTTACTAAAAAATTATAAGTAGCACACTTTAAAGTAGAAAGATTACTTCAATTTAATAAACACCATAGCATTTAACTAGGTACATAATTTTCACATTTATTAACAGCCACACAAATACCAGCTGTCGGCGTTTGAGTTAAGTTAGAGCAGAGAAAGGAGGGATTGAGGAGAATGGTACAAATTGACGTTTTAAATAAGTTCGACTATTACGAGTAGTATTAAAGAGCAACACTCAGTAAGGAGCATCATTAATCGCACGTGTGGTAGGGAGGACGGGGGGGAGGGGGGGGAACACAATCAAAAGGTGGAGAGAGTGAGAGTGGGAGTGAGAGAGAGAGCACAAAGAGACACGATAAATGCGATCGTAGTGGAAGGGAGATGAGAAGGTGAGATGGGGGAACTATGAGAAATGCATCCTGAAAGACGGGGGAGAGAGGGCATAAACTACAGACAGAGTGCGCAAAACGTTCGCTGCTTGTGCGTGTTTAGTGCTAATGATGAGACACCAATGAACGTGAAAGCAGAAGAGAAAATGCACTGGCTGGCGTGGAGTCCAATGATGTCATGAAAGGTGGGTGATGTTTGGAGGATTTGAATCTAGGTTCTCAGCATCTTCTGAGAGAAGATGTGATTGAGTTGGCTCCACTGATGCTGCAACTACTTCCACATTCCTCGACCTATTTCGACGCAGCCTGTGAGTTGAATGTTGGTGACGTCGGGGGTTGGAGATTGAAGAAGATCTGAAAAGACCCTGCAAGAACTCCCTTCGACCGGAGTTTCCATGAGAACCATCTGATTGATGCTCCAAGTCATGGTACTGCAAGGAAATGCAATGGAAGGTGAATCAGCACGTTCAAAAAAATAAATTAATTTCGGGTCGTCAATTTCTGCAGTATTAGTAGTGGGTGTAGATGGTGATAAATTTATGTAGAGTGGGATAATTTTCCCTCTCTTAATCTGGCGGATTCTTTACATGGAAAAATAAACTTATCAGAATGTAACCATCATATCTTTTTTTCGGTAATTTGGCGAACAGAAACACAGAGATACGGCATTTCGATATTTAGTAAGACACCTAAGGCGACTACTATGCCGCTACTTAAGCTGGGGCCTGAAAGCAAATGCAAGTCTTGAAGAAAGTGCACTTTCGTGTGTGTGTGTTTGTGTGTGCGTGCGTGCGCATGTCCGTGTCAGTGGCTCAGCGGTTAACGTGGCCCTCCATAAAGTCAGAGGTCACACACACACACACACACACACACTCGATTCATCTCCAATAAGCCGAAATGGGCGATTAATAAAATTGCGTGCAATAAACTTACAGAAGTGGAGACAGAAGCGGTGGTAACACATTCCGGTGAATCATTACTTCGAGTTTGTCCATTACTAGTAAAAAGTTTCTCATCTCTTTCCCCCTCTTCCACGTGCTCCACACCGGCTCGAACCAGGAGAGGACTCGAACTTGGCTCTATAGAGGGTCCTGGGACGGGGACAGTTGCAACCGGGGCAGTTGAGTTCGAGTCCACTCCAGTGGACGCCGGACAGGAACGATCCATGTCAGGTCGGAAATCGTACGCCTGAAGAATATCCAATTTGCACATGGGACAGGAGCGCTGCTCTAGCAACCAGGGATCGATGCACAGCTTGTGAAAGTAGTGTCTGCAAAAGTGAGAAAAAAATGCTAATTTTACGAAATTTTCATCACAATTTTCATATCTAAGGCAAATCGTCAAGCTCAGTGGTGTAGAGGAGGGGTGTGTGCGATAGACTTACCTCCACGTTGTGCACCCTGGGCAACGTATACTCATACCTCAAAAAAGTCAATTAACTGGCAGTTGACCTCTGACTTCAAACTACCATGACCCCACTGTATGTCATGTTCGACCCCTTCACAGTACTCATCTAGCCTTTTCTCTGCCTCTATGTCTGTCTGTCTCTTTTACATCTGTGAATCACTCTTCTGTTCCCCCTCCCCTCTATGAAGCCCGAAGTCAGCTAGAGGGCTAATGATAGCTATCGAACCGCCTGTAACTTGGAATAAATAAATAAATGGTGTAGAGAAGATTTGATGCTTTGAAGTATTGACGTAGCGATCGAGGCACTAAGGAAATCAATAATCCGATTAGGATGAATAAACAATAAATTAGGCGAAAGTGCACAAAATCAATTTCAATCGATAATCTAAATGCGATATCTTCTCATGCCCTGGAAATACATGATTGATCCAATGGCCATTAAGTCCTCTTCTAGAGTGACAACTTAATGCATTAATTATATATTATTTCTTTTGCACTAAATAACTGGTCATATTATCTGTGGACGCTCACGGCGCAGTGATCAACATTCTCGAAGTTGATGTCAATCGGTGCCTACACAGTGAGCGGCATAGGCTAGCATAGAGGTCATGACAGAATTCCACTTTCCCACTAGGGACACTCAAGGATGCTCACCACTAAATGACAATTGACATCAGAGAGAGAGGGAGGAGGTGGAGGCGGGGGGGGGGAGAGAGAACAGAAGCGGATTTCCCAAAGGCACAATAACCAACCAACGCAAACGTTCGCTTTTGTAAGCACCAATGTTTCATTTAGTTGTCGTATTTAATACGAGGGATATTAGATCCAATGAAGAGGAAGGGTGGAGGAGGTATTGAATTTAACTAATTGGGGAGATAATAATTTCGAATGATGGGCAATGGGGATAGGTTGAATTGGACTTAAGGCAGAAATACCTCCGGTGTAATTTGACACCCCCGGAGTGGAATAAAACAAAGGAGAAGACAGGGAGGGAGAAAGAGAGAGGAAGGCGGGGGGGGGGAGGGAGGGAGGGAGGCAAGGTGGGATAAGTAAGAGGAAGAAAAGGTAATTGGAGTGCGAGTGTGCGGAGAAATCACTCCAGCGTGTTAGGGCTTAGCCAATCACAGTGACGCACAGCTGATTACCTTCTATTTTTAGAACAAGCCTTTTTCCCACCCCTCAACGCTGGGGCAGTAAGTTACCTTTCTCCACTAAAATGCAGAAACAGCAACCCACTACTCCTTTACCTCTCCCAACTCTACTTTCGTGAAAACTCACTCAAAATTTAGTGAAGACTCAAACGCCACGCATATTTATTGTTTCAGGGGGAATTTAGAGACTTCAATCACGACAAAAAAACCAAAAATTAAGCAAGAAAACACTCAAGGAAATCGATATGAGTGTGTCAAGAGAGGAGAAAGAAAAAAATAGCCGTGAGTGTTTTTGAACAAGCTTATAGCGTTCAATTTACCCAAATATGAGGAGATAAATACCGCCTTTTAATTCACCTACTTGGTCTATTGGTCACAAGCTCATGAAAGATGCGATTAGCTAGTGAATGCTCATTTTTTGACAAGCAATGGACACATTCAAATGAATCTCCCAACTCAACACCCGCAAATTCTGCTAGGAAGCCGACAAAGAAAGTTCAAATCCGCAGAGTTGACACCTAAGCCCCCCTCCCCCCGCCATCTTCCACATAAATTAGCAGCGAAAACAGATGCGCCCTTCTGTTTTACAGGGTGATTGATAAGGTGATGCAAAAAAACAACGAGCGAACAAAAACCGATTTTAACGCTTCTTTCAACTGGAGTCAGCAACGCATTAGATACTGAATGAGTGAGGACTCAGGCTACATTATTTCATTGAAATTTGATTAAAATAAGCACGTGCTGCTATCCTCTCCCCCCCCCCCCCCCCCCCCCACCAAAAACTGCAGCAATCTTTATGGACCCAACTTCGATTAAATGAGTCATTAATTCGGGGTTTGGAAATAATCGTGCCACCTTCAATACCTGATCAAAGCCTTTTTTGCTACAACAGCAGTGATAAAACAATCTTCCTTCGAAATAAGCGATGATAAATGGCGTCGGGTTGATGAGGCGAGTGAATCCTAACATCTCTGTGCAGAGTTGGTACAACAAGTGAGGAGAGGGCAGACTCATGTCAAGTGTGTAGCGAAGTCCAAGGTTATAGGTCCATTGGTGCACACGCAGTGAGTGCGTTTAGTCCGATTCGAATAAAGCCGCCAAACTCTAACTTCCCAGCCATGACAAGAAGTAGGAAAACATAACTAACCCCCCCCCCAACACACTCACTCTATTATCATCACTATAAAAATGGCGTATTAGGAAAAGTCGAGCATCTTTTGATCTAAAAGTTCGGCTAGGGGAGCGGGCTGGGACACACGGAGACCATTTGGAATAGAATGACATAACTCGAGTTTCACATCAGGAGAAGGATTCAAAAAGCTATGTCTCCTCCCAAAATGAATCCCTTTCGAAAAGGGCTCGAGTACTTAGTCCTAATGAGATGGAACTTTAAGGAGTTTGGGAAGTCGGAAGAGTTTGGGATATTATCTACACCCATAAATGCATACCCACGTCATAAATGTCATCACTAACGCGTTCAGAAATTCAGAAGTTTAGGTGGCAGGTGCGCCCAGTTGATGGTCAGAATACGTCATCACAGGTAGACTAATGGAGGTGGGGGGGGGGAGGAGGAAGGCCTGCTTTCTTTCTCCCACACAGCGAGAACTGACATTGGCGCAATTCATCAACACACTTTCTGGGCCCTAGAAAGCGTGAGAATATTGGCGACCAGCATCCGCACGTACACATAGACACTCAGCCCCCCCCCCCCCCCCCCCCCCCCC